GGGGAAGACAGTACCTGGCCTGTGCTGAACTAGACCCCAGAATGAATGAGAGATATCTTTCTGCAAGGAATGCAGAGGAAGAGAAAACTCCTTGGACAAATTGCTGGAGGAACACAGGTGGAATGGCTAACTCTTCAGAGGAGACGGAGAGGCTGAAGGATATTGAATTTGGTCTGATGAGTTAGGTGTTTACTAGACAAACGAAAAGGGGAGGCTTATTTCAGATGAGGAGCTTAGTGTGTTAGCAAACAGTGAAAATGGTTTGATACAAGAGTGCCCTGTGTAGGAAGCAAGAGGTGTAGTACACAGGGGCCAACTTGTTGAAGGTGCCTGCATGCCAGGCCTAAGAAATTTTGATTGTGGACAATAGGCCATTTTAGAGCAGAGGAAATGACATGATCATGTTCACCCTTTAGGAAAAACACGTATGCAGCGTGGAGGATGAACTAAAGGGGACAAGTGATGGGAACATGTTTACATGTTAAGCATCAAGTGTCGGTTGGAACCTCCTGATCCATGGAGAGCTCTGTATGATTGCCTCAGAGGTCTTGCCAGTTCCACAGAAACAGGAAAGTCCAAACTCTGCACATTTCTACAGATCCCTGGGATTTACGGCCTCCAATGGTTTCCTCTTGCCTAAGGTTCCTATGACCTGTACAACCCGTCCCTGTTGTTGTCCTCCTTATCCCTGTGGCAGAACTCAGCTCCTTCATCAGCTTCCCCAAGAAATTCTCTGTCACATGAACATTCATGAGTTTAGAATACCTTGCTAGAGATTGGGTGTTTTAGGAAGGATTGGTCCGACATGAATTTGGGGGGACACAAACATTTAGTCCATAACAAGTCTTAGATCAAGGTGCTGGAAAATTTGTTTTCTGATGAGGTTCCTTCCTGGCTTGTAGGTGCTGCCTTCTCACTATGACCGTCATCTGGACTTTTGCTTGTGTGGCTGAAGGGAGAGAGAGACAATCTTTGTGTCTCTTCCTCTTGATAAACACAGGCTACTGATCATGGCCCACCATTATGACTTAATTTACCTTAATTATCTCCTTAAGGCCTTTATTTCCAAGTCAGTCCACATTGGGTTAGAGCCTTCTCAGGACACAAATTCCCCATATCGACGTGACTGTGACACGTGTGTGTGTGTGTGTGTTGTGTGTGTGTGTGTGTTTGATGTCTACCGGTGGTCCTGGTGTCTGAGCCCTCCACAAACACAATGCTCAGTGCTGCCCAAACTCGTGTCTAGCCACACAAACACCCAGACTAGCAGCCCCTGACACCAACTTGCCTCTGCTTGCTCCGGGTCTGGAAAGGAGCCCTAGTTGTGGGGTTGTCCGTGGCTGCTGCAGTGAGGGGGTTCCTGGGGGAATCTCCCTGCTTGGAGACCCTTCAATGTGCTTGCTCAGTCATCAAGGCAGAAAATGAGATTTAGGCTGGGGCTGCAAGTCCCTGAGGTCAGGGGTTGGGGTAGCAGAGGCAAGTTTTGAGGGGTCCAGTCTGAATAATCAGATGTTGGGTCACCAGAGGACAGAGACAGGACCCACGTCTGAGTAGAGAGCTGTGGAGGGGCAGGCTGTTCCTTGGCATTCAGAATGGGCAGCTGGTAGCTGGGGCCCTACCACTGAGGCCCATGTAGACCCACGGGTGCCATCCTCTTGTGCCCAGAGGAGGGTTTTGGGGCTTTTGCCTGGCTTTAGCTTGTCATAGGGGAGGAAGGAAGCCCTGTGACAAGTTGGGGGTGCTCAGAGTTGCACTTGATATGCCTATGAGGTCTAGGCAGGGAGTGGGACCCTGGAAATCCGGAAATTCAGGACCAGGGCTGGTCCCTACAGGTGCGATGTGACACCTGCCCTTCACTCTCTGTGGCCCCGGGACCCAGACCCCTCTCCAAAACACAGCTGGCAGGAGTCCTGGCACCCCTTCCCATGCCCTTACCTCCCCCTGGCTCCTCCTGCAACCTCTGATTCGATATTCACTATTCTCACCTTCCGGGTCTCCCCGGCTTCCTGGACCTAACCGCCCAAGCCCCCCATCTGAGTCCCAGGGTCTAGGAACTCCCGTGTGCTGAGTCCCAGAGCAGCAGCAGGATCAAGTGACAAGGGATCTGGATTCCAGGGTCCTAATCCCAGGATCTGAGGCCACTTAACTACGTTGTGTGGCCTGGAGACTCACCCCTGCTGAGTGGCCTGATCCACGTCACTCAGTAGCGGTGGAACATCTGTGTCAGCTTGGATCTTGGAACCTTCAGATCCCGAGTCTGACATGGGAAGGGGAAGCGCCCTTCTGTGCAAGAGCCGGGTCCTGCTGCTCTGAGCCAGGGAGACCTGGGCGGTCCTGGCTGAGCCGGAGTTGGGTCTGTCCTGTCCTCATCCTGTGGCCACACGTGTCCGCGCCAGCTGCTGCTCCGGTTCCGCGGAGCCGCCGGGAGGGTCCGGCCGAGTCGGAGGAAAACGGGGACCCCTGGGCTGGGCGGGCGAAGGCGCCCCTGAGCAGTCCTGCCCTGCACTGGGTCGGAGACAAGACGCGCAGCAGCCTCATGCTGTCCCTGAGTTTCTTTTTGTTTCTTTTCTCCTCACTTACCCCCTCCTCCCTCCCTCCCTCCTCCTTCTTTCCTTCTTCCTTCCCTCGCTTTTGTTTCTTGACAGTCTCACTCTGCACCCAGGCTAAGTGCAGGTGGCGTCATCAGAGCTCACAGCACCTCACAACTCCTTGGCTCAAGCCAATCCTCCTGCTCAGCCTCCCAAGTAGCTGGGACTATAAGAACCCGCTGCTGAGCACCCCCCCCCAATTTTTCTTTTTAGTACAGACACGGTCTCACTTTTTGCCCAGGCTGGTCTCGAACTGCCTAAGCCTCAGTGATCTCCTGCCTCAGCCTCCAGAGTGCTAGGATTACAAGGATGAGCCACTGTCCCTGGCCATTTTGTTTTTACAGTTTTTTACATTTTAAAAAAAATTTCAATGATTTGGATACAATGTTTTTTTTTTTTGTACATGGGATAAATTGGTATAGAGGTGAAGTCAGGGCCTTTTTTTCAGTGTACCTGTCACCTGAATAGTGTACCTGCACCATTGGTATTTACTGATGTCTACACTTCCTCTTCACCCACCCCTTAGATCTCCAAAGGCCCATTACTTACCACGCACTGTATTCCATG